AACATCCCCAGTAAATATTCATTGGGAATATTTCATAGAATGATCCTCTACAACTTCCAAGCAAGATCTTGGAACATTCCCAGTGAATGTTCTTTATATTCAAAAAACAATAAATAATTTTCTTTCTACAAATTGGTTATATTCCAGGAATATATATTCCGCATATGCGCTATCATCTAGGAATAATCCGCTTCATTCTAGAAATATTCATTGGGTATATTCCATAGAATGATCCTCTAAAACTTTCAAACACCATCTAAGAACATTCCCAGTGAATATTCATTAGTTTAGTTGCAATACTTCTCACCGTTGCTTACGCACGCTTGAAACTATATATACCGATAGGTTAATAATATCAGTTGGAGATGTGCGTCTGTGATGGCACATCTAAACAATGATTAGAGTGGTACTGATAATGGCTAGTTAAGTTAAGTTCCTGGGTATAAGTGGCCATAAGGGTTATAAGGAGTATTCCCCAAATTATATTAAGGTACATTCTCCTAACATTACTTAAGTCTTATGCATGCCGCTTAGGGTGACCGCAACTCATAGGGGGTGGAAAAAAATGTCGGAATTTTGTTCATCTGGACCCCACAAAACGATTCCCCTTTCCAGATATTGAGTTAGCCGAAATTTGAGCTCGATTAAACGACGTTAACCCGTGCCGCTCGTCGCTCAAAGTTTGAAAAAATCCAAATTTTTTGCCAAAAAGCTGACATATGGAGCCATAACTCCAGAACGGTAAATAATAAAAATACGCTTAATATCTCAAAAGAAAGCTAATGTTGTTTTTCAAAATTTGTAATCTATACATAATTGTTGTTATTTTAAGTCAAACCGAGTTACAACAGCCTTTAGTCCCAAAAACATGACCTGGTACCACTAGGAGCATACTTCGTATATTTTGTTATTAAGTGATAAATTTTGCTTTTTTTGGTATATTTTTGAGTTTAAAGTAGAAGTTTAATAAAAAAAACAAGTAATACTGATTAATCTAATAACATTTTTTATTTTAAAATATAAAAATTAGGTATATAATACATACAAAACAGACACAGAAAAGATACAGACGTAGTAACTACATGAGTTGATTTTACATAGTTATCTAATCTATTCTAGAGCTTTTGTTAAAGTCAGGATATAATGCTCGGCATTTGCTTACAACTTGCAGGACATATTGCTTTTGGCCTTCATCTTTAGTCAGAAAGTTGTTAAAGTCTGTTATTAATTTAACACCACGCTCAGCCATATCATTAACTACCTTTAATGTTTTGACAATTTTCAATCCTTCTTGGAAGTCATTATTTTGAGGCCAGGATGTTGTCTTAGGAAATCTGTTTTTATATTAAATCGGTTAAAGAATGTAAATGTTTCTTTGGTAAGTAGATTGGTAAATTCCATCAACTACCTCTTTTAATTTTTCTTTCCTAACTTTTGGATTTACAACCCTAGCGTGCTCTGATGGTTCATCTGTGCTACTGAACAATTTATTAGCCATTAACAACTTTTCATCGTCTGTAATGGTGGGATAAAAAAAAGATATTCCCACCAACTCTGCATTTAAATACCTTCTTGGATTTGTCGGTTCATTTTTGCAAGTTCCTTTTGCACCTTGATTTCTTCAGCTCGAGACAACTTAAGATCCACTCCAGTCATGGAACCTGGGCGGCCCTTCTGCCTCTGTTTCACGAGAAACTCCTTATCTTCTTTCGATTTCAGAGGCAAGGCATCTTGCTGAGCAATATCAAAGAGATCATCCAACTTTTCAACAAACTGTTTAAATTTGTTCTTAGCCGTTTCCGATGTTTTCTTCCGGTCTTTTTGAAGAGTTCTCCACTCGGCGTAAAGTTTTTCCAGCTTAGTAATTGCATCTTGCTCATGTTTAGTCGGAATTCGATCTTTCTCCCAAAAAATTAACACTTCTCGTATGGCAAGTTTTCCGGATTCTCTTACAGTTTACAACCGGTGATTTGGTGAATGGGATAGCCCACAAGAAATATTTTATCCTTGGTTCGGCTTTGTACACCTGATGTGGATGCCATTTTATCCGTAAAACAAAGATTAATAATACTTTTCTTCAAGATCCTGGTATCTACACTGTAGATTCTACAGCCGGCAACGCATGAACTAGAGGCATACACTCTATAGGCCGTCTTTTATTTTGCTAATTCATACCTAATAAAAGGATTAATGCAAATAATTGTATAAATTAAATATAATTACCTACCTGATTTTTTGTTAAAACTTAACCTTTACCTTTATTTAGTAAAATACACACAGGTAAAACTAAATAATAATTTTTGGAGCAAATAGTAAAAATAATTTTAAAGAGCCTTTTGTTTAAATTTAATCTTTTATTATATGGGGATTACCTGACTATTAGTCTGACTATATTTGAACAAAAGGCTCTTTTTGTTTGAAAATTAAGTTCCAAAATAGTTTTTAATGAAAAATGTTAATTCCGAGACACATTGTGTAAAAACCCGTAAAACTCTTAGAATACACCCAAACTGGCTCCTAATGCTGCCAGGGCATGTTTTTGGGGTCAAAGGCTGTTGTAACTCTGTTTGACTTAAAATAACAACAATTATGTATAGAATATAAATTTTGAAGAACAACATTAGCTTTCTTTTGAGATATTAAGCGTATTTTTATTATTTACCGTTCTGGAGTTATGGCTCCATATGTCAGCTTTTTGACCAAAAATTTGGATTTTTTTCAAACTTTGAGCGACGAGCGGCACGGGTTAACGTCGTTTAATCGAGCTCAAATTTCGTCTATCTCAATATCTGGAAAGGGGAATCGTTTTGTGGGGTCCAGACGAACAAAATTCCGACATCGATTTTTTGCGGTCACCCTAATGCATTGCCGCTACATGGAATATTATTTTTATGATGACTGGGTTAACCAAAAAGCGGACATTTGATTACGCCAGGAATATTCCTGGGAATATTCTGGTACGCTTGGAATAACCCTGGGAATATTCCTGACATGTGCAGGGAATGGAATTTTGCGGTCTGGGATATGAATAAACATTAGGGTGCTTCAAAAAATAAATTTTATTTTTTTTTGCTCTTACCCTCTCAAATGTTTTTATTTAATATAAAATCCTCACTAAATATGGGCGTTCCAGCTCAACTCTAAGAGGTCGCTGTTTTTATTTTAGTTTCCCATTTAATTAACATGGGAAAAAATAATTTTATGTTTGGAATTTTATACCTCTGTATCAAAGTAACTTAGGGCAATGATTGCAGTTTCTTATATAAAATGTAAGGATCTACAAAAAAAGGTCTCTTATTATTTTTCGATAAATTGATTTCTTCTAGAGTTATTCGAGGTCAAAGTTTGATTAACATCAAATTTTCTGGTACTATTAGCAGACGGGAGGTGAAAGGGGGCAAATCAAGGCAGCGGGGGGGCAAAATGGGTTACCCAAAAAAGCATATGAAAAGTTTTCCAAAATTGTACCATCCTTTTTCTCGCTCTACAGGCTCAGAATAATTATTTTCGATTAAAAGCGTGGTGAGCCAATTTATTTTCAAATAATTTAGAAACGGAAAAACACAATCTAAAAAAAATGTTTTTACGAAATTTTTTGGGTACCCCATTTTGCCCCCCCCGCTGCCTTGTTTTGCCCCCCTTCACCCCCCGTCTGCTAATTTTACCATAAAATTAAAAAAAAAACAGAAAATTTGATATTAATCAAACTTTGTCCTCGAATAACTCTAGAAGAAATCAATTTATCGAAAAATAATAAGAGACCTTTTTTGTAGAGCGTTACATTTTATATAAGAAACTGCAATCATTGCCCTAAGTTACTTTGATACAGAGGTATAAAATTCCAAAAATAAAATTAGTTTTTCCCATGTTAATTAAATGGGAAACTAAAATAAAAACAGCGACCTCTTAGAGTTGAGCTGGAACGCCCATATTTGGTGAGAATTTTTTTTTATATTAAATAGAAACATTTGAGAGGGTAAAAGCGAAAAAAAATTAATTTTAATTTTTGAAGCACCCTAATACACATATATTATATAGTACTAGGCAACACTGTTATTAATAAACCCCTACTAAAAAATATCCTACCGACTGCGCCATAAAGTAAATAATACCAGAGTAGGTTGAAGACTGATTTATTAAAATGACTAGCATGTAGGTGTATGTATCTTGACTAGCATGGGTGGTGGGTACATTTGTAGTGGGGATTTATTAATTACAATGTTGTCTAGTATTATGTATACATATGACTCCTGCAACACAAGTAAGTAAGTGTTAAAAGGCTGTTTTTCGGTCACAAATTTTTACTTCTCTAGAGGAACAATTATTTGTGATAACCAACATAATTTTTGGAGATAAAGAAGAACATTAATAATGACAACGACCCATTATCATTATAGAAAATAACTAAAAATTAATCCAAAATTTATTATTAATATTCAAAATCATGATGAGTAATTATTAATATGTCATTAATTTATTTGTTTGTTATTGGGGTTTTGATATAATTATAATTATTGTTATGTGTGTGTATGTATGTATTATTGTAAAATCATTTTCCTTACAAACAAAATTTTCCTGTTTTGCCGCACATTTGGATATTTTAATTTGAAATGCTATATTTACAAATTTGTCAAAATGTTCTGTAGAAAAAGTAAACGTTGTAAAAATATTTTTTTTAAATTTTTCTTCTACAACACACGACAAATTTTTTTAAGGATTTTCCACAAAACGCATAGCATTTAACTAGTAATATTAAAAGTTAAAATCAATTAACAAAATAATAAAATGTGTCCGAATAAAAAAAATTTTAAAACTTTAAATATTATATAGGTATCTTTAATTTTTAATGATGGTTAAAAAGTTTTTATATTATAGAACACATGCACTAAATGTAATAAAATTGGATTGGACTAAAATTTAATAAGACTGGCTATAAAATCCTGAATTATTTTATTGTATCGTTTATTTTTCTTTTTTTAACGTTTATTTTTTTGTTGCAGCACTTGAAGAAGGTAATGTATTTTTTAGAATTTATTATAAACCATGGATAAAAACAACGTGTTATCCAATAAAATATTAAAATGATCATTCATTACAAATCTCGCTTCTTCGTCGCTCGTTGTTAATTGTCCTTGCGAAAAAAATACGCCTTTTGACATTAGTTTTTTAAAATACATACCTACTATTAAAAACTGACATTTAATAGCAATCTATTCGTAAGTAATATCATAAGGGAATCTAATTTTTCCGAAAAAAATCGACGATAGTCGACATAATAAACCTACGCCAACAGTATATTGTTATATACTTAATACGGTAATGCCGTATTGTTATAACAATATGCTTTAAAAGTATGCTGTATGTATGACAAATAATTTGTGTGTTAATATGTTATATTTACCTAAGCCGTACAGTATATTATGTATACAGGGTGGCCCATCGAAAACGTACCGCAAGGTAAAATCCAAAACCACATCAAGTTTGTTTGTCAGGGGGACAACTTAGTGGGTGTGTCATCCTCCAATTTTTTTCAAATGAGAATGGGGGTTAAATTACAACTCATTAAAAAGGGTTTGTGTACTTTCTTCTTGAATGGTTTAGTGAATCGTCACAATTGTCGTTACTGGGCTGATACCAATCCAAGGATTTTCCACCAGGCTCACACACAACACCCCCAGAAGTTGAATGTTTGGGCTGGTATTTTTGGATATTCCATTGTAGGTCCTTTTTTCCTTCCTGGAAATTTAACAGGCGATATGTATGTACCTAGATTTAACACATCATAGAGAACGACCCTGCATACAATGAACAGTAAAGCTACATTTTCAATCAACTCTGAAGCTTGCTTTAAAGCTCATTCACATCTACTTAATAAGCGTAACTTAACTTACCTTAACTTAAGAAACCTACGTCTGTTAAGTTGTCTGTTCACATTAACTTAATACACGCAAATAACGTAATATAAAAGCACGCGCAATGTATACATCGATGTAGACTGGGTTGCCTATCTATCTATAAAAGTGAAACAACAAGATAGCGCTATATCGTTTTACTGGGCATGTGATTGGCTCAAGTAAGAAACGTATTCCCTTAAGTTGAGCCGGACCCAACTTTTGAACACGTTAAGCTACGAGTGATAAGTTTTCTACGAATGTAAACAGCTGCATTGGTTTCAATGTATTTCAACTCACGTCTCTCACGTAAGTTAACTTAAGTTACTCTTATTAAGTGAATGTGAATGAGCTTTTAGAGTGGGAGTGTGTCGCACACGTACACTGTTCAAAATTTTAGGACCATTTTAACACCAACTTAACACCATACATGGTCTATATCGATACAAACCAAAATAGTGTTAAATATGGTTCGTTGGTCCACGTCCGGTGTAAATTCAAATACTAAAATAGTTTAAATTTAACTTTCACACAGTATTAAAATAAATTTTACCTGGTGTAAATTGAACTCGTTTTCAGTGTTAAATATTATGTGTTTTTGGTCAAATTAAATTATACTACACAGAAAAAAAGGGAAAAAAAGAAAACAGGAAGTTCCTTGACGCATTACTAGTATATTAGTATATTGGTATTATTCCAGAAAATTGAACCTTCAACTCGCTAGAGATAGTGTTTTTAATGCGTTCCACCAACTTCAAATACTTCAAGTATTAACAGCTGTTTCCACCTATTTAAGGTCTCTTTAGTATCTAACAACTTGTAGTGTCACACCAAAGCAAAGGACTACCTGAGCTTATATACTCTTCATGTAAGTCAACAGAGGCGAGATTTAAGAAGATCGCGTGATCCACACCGCCTTTGCCGCGATCGGTACACACTATTCAACCAGAAATGCACGGCAAATTGGTTTAATCGTTTTAACAGAGTGCTTTAGGTTAAAATAACTCTTATTTTACAAACAACATATTTAGTAAACTGAACCATACAGCGGGTTGGTTTCACTAAAGTTTTCTGGGTTAATTTAACCAATTTAAAAAAAAATAAATATCTGGTTTAGTAAACCTCAAAGTGGTAAGAACAATCATTTTACTCCTCTTTTGTAAAAAATAAACCTTATGCTATCAGGGCTATCAAATGTCAATTTGAAGGTTAATTTAAGGTTATTATACCCCACAAATTAACCTTCAAATTGACATTAGATAGAATAAGATATATTTTTTACAAAAGTTGAGTAAAACGATTATTAATCTGTACAAACCCAAAGCACAAGAATTGTTAACAACAAAAATGGCCGCCATCGTATGATGTGCAGTGTTGCAGTGATTTTTAGAATTTTTACTACGAGATCGAACAGACTTTGTTGTGTGGATTGTGACCCTGACAAACATAGAAAAAGAATATAAGAAGGGCGACCACTGTGTTAAACTTAAGAAACACAAACGTCATAAACGCCTGCCAATTAGGGCCGTACTCCAAATATTTTATTAACTTTTATAATACAGGGCCGGCTTTATCTATTTTGTATATATTAATAATTATAATATTAATTTATTTAAATTTGACCAATAAAATAAAATAGTTGCAAAGATTTATTTATTTTAAAAAGTAAATGGTTATAATACACTAATTTTAACAATAAAATAAATTAAAGAATATACAAACAGTGCCTCTGTATTTTGAATGGGTTCAGAAGTGAAAGAAGGTATAAAACTTCCCTCCTGTATAGGTTTTGGCCCTAAAAAAACATACATGTATTAAAAAAATTTTGATGTCCATTAATGCATTACATTTTTTAACAATAGTAAAAATTTCAATAACTTCTTCCACCAGGGACATCAGTACGCAGGAAATTACTTTCAAACAACAATAGTCCCTATTAAAGCAAATGTCCCAATATTATTAAGTAGTATTGGTTTTTGCAATCGTAATAAATTACACACAAATTAATTATTTAATAGGTATGTCAATCTCCAAAAAAACATTATAAAAGCAACTGATTTATTGTATATACTTACTGTAACTTCAAGAGAAAGCAATACAGATGAAAAAACTCAAAAAATACTTAAGAGCTTAGAAATAGATCTTTACCGTTATCAATATTCTTTCTATTGTTGACAGATGTCAAAACTGACAATTAAAATAATTATTAAAAAAGAAAATATGGCAACGTTGCTCGGGAGGCGCTTGTTGCGCATATTCCTATATGAGTTTCACCCCCCTGCTGACAAACAAACTTGACGTATTTTTGGATTTTTCCGAAAAGCTTTTTCCCAGCCTGTAATGCCTTCCGGTACGTTTTCGATGGGCCACCCTGTATATACTTTATACCGTATTGTTATAACAATATGCTTTAAAAGTATGCGTGTTAATATTATTTATAAATTGTGTTTAATTTAAAGAAAATAATTATAAGGTTATTTTGTTTAAAAATATTTGAATCGGCTGTATTAGTTTGAACCTCAAAAGGAGTTTGCGCCCAAAAACTTTAGGCTAAAATAGCAAAAAGTAATTTTGCATTCGAATAGTTTAATTAAATTATGTCAAAATTAATGTGTCGTAAAATAAAGTTAAGTTTAATTTGATTTCAAATTAAAAGGGTTGGGCTATCAAAGCCTCTGCTTAGTTTAAATTTTGCAAATTAAAATTTGCGAATTTGATAGATATAATGGGGCAAATTAATTAGACGTCAACTCAGTTTTAAAAAACAGGCGAGAGAGGGTAAAGCGAAAAGCTGAAAATTGCTTTTAGATTTAGATTTCGAAATTCGAATATATTAATGAATATTTCCCAGTGTTTTACTTATTCCACCAGGTGGCGTTAATTTGATTTATTACTTTTTGTAATGTATTATTACTGATTATTTATTATGAAAGTATAGGTATTTTAATTTATTGTTAATGTTCTCATAATATTCGTGGTGATTCATTAGTACTCCATATGATAACTCAAGTTAGTACTAAATATGATAACTCAAGTTATTAACTAGTCCTTTTTTAAAAAAGCTACAATTCCATATTTTCGGAATTCGTCAATTTTTTTAATTTTTTATATGTTTAAGCGGTAACCGTAAAATAATATTTATCTTATCTGAATTAAGCCAGATTTATAGATTGCGTTCCTTCCTCTCGTAAAAGATTAACAATACGAAAACCGTAGTACTGTCTTTTCACATAAGTAACAGACGGACTAAAATTATTAAAATCATGCACTAAGCACGTGATATTCAAAAACTCAAGCGATAAAATTGAACATGGCCGTATTTACGATTTAAATAAATGAATTAGAACCATTTTTTTTGTTTCTTTTTTTAATGTTAATATTATTTTAATAGACAAATTTTAAATAAATAATAAATAAATAAATAATAAATAATAAATAAATTTTAAATAAATAATAAATAAATTTTAAATAAATAAAAAGTATTTCAGTTCCAGTCCAAAACTCGGCTTATCCACTTTTTAATAATAATGAGTTAGTGGTGTCTCTACTTTTAACATGTATCACCGGGTGATAATCACCCTATACCCTGAAAAGTTCATAATATTCTAAAACTCACCTTATTCCATTTAAAATTCATTTACAAATTGACTATCGTTAAAAAAATTGCCTTATCTATAGATATATTGGTTAAATCATGCAGAACTCGGCTATATAAATGTTTTACTTAAGCCTATATATTTCTTATAAAGTATTATGTTGACCTGATATGCGTTAGTACTCAAGGTTTTTGACATTTTGCTCAAAAACAACTAATATGGATAAGCCCAGTTTTGGAATGCACCTCCTCATTTATTAACTTGAAGTGCTTTCATCAACATTTTCAATATTAATGATAAGTGGTTTAACTTTAACCTTCACAATGTTATCCAACTCCTACATTTTTGGCTCAACTTTGTCATTTACATGTTGAACACATTTTTCCCACTTATACGCTGTAATCGGATTACAGTAATCCTTTGAATTGCTTCATTAAAGATAAACGAATTTAAAAGTAGTATAACACTCTCAACTATTTTTGTTGTTAACGTGAACATGAATGTAAATATAAATTTTGACACGCG